ACAATGTATTGTAAAGCAATGGTGTTTACTTTTCAAAATCACGTTACTAACTATATGTCATACATGACAAAGAGCATAACTTCATAAATAACATAAATGACCATGAAGTATATATACAACATTACCCCTCACGGGGTTTAGAAACCGAATCTATCTGGGGGCCTGCGGTGCCGTTCAGAGCGGCGCTGCGCAAGACCTTGGTTTTGCACAGGTTGCAGACAGTCGGGATGCGAAACCTCCAGCCATGATGGACCAGGTTGTGGCGAAGAAGGACGATGTTGTTCTACTTCAGGGTCTCGGTCGCCTTCCCCTATCGCAATGACTGGGTTTCTCGTATAGTATGTGATATTCCGAGGATTGTGGTTAAGACTGTCGAGTTGACTTTGTAAATGTGTTAAAGGCACTTCCAGTGTTTCTAATCTAAGTCTCAATTGATCCGTGTGCTTACGTTTGAGACTGCCATCTGGCATCTTTACTATGTATGAATAAACCCCCGTCCGACATTCTATTATACCAGGATCTGATCCTTTGGCAGTAGGGCGATTCACCCATACTTTGTCTTTAGTTTTGTATTCCGTGGCTGCTAGTTGTCTAGATGATGGCTTTAGTTCCTGCGTGAGCCGCGCTTTTTCTAAATTTTCCTTAACATTTGGTTTTAATAGATCAAAAATTGTGCGCATCGGTCTCCCAAAAAGCATTTCGAATGGTGAACGGTTAGTAGAATTACGACGGGTGTTGCGGTATGTTTGTAAAAATTTGTGAAGTCGTTCAAATAAATCAGTATGTTTACTTGCTGCTGCCATGTGCTCTTTAAAAGTACGAACGGCACGCTCCGCTAACCCGTTTGTACGAGGGTGATATGGTGTCGTCTTTATGTGAGTAATTCCCATTTTTTTACAATAAACTTCAAAATCATCTGCTGTAAATTGTGGTCCGTTGTCTGATACAATATATCGAGGAGTACCGAAAGTCGAAAAAACTGCATTTAACTTTGAAACGGTGGCTTTGGCTGTAGTCGTTTTCATTTCGAGCCACTTTGTGTAGGCATCTATAATTATAAGCCAAGAAAAACCATAGATTGGACCCGCAAAGTCCACGTGGATCCTGTGCCATGGTTCGGGTGGTACTCCCCAAGAATATACTGGAGTGTTAGATGTATTTTGACGAGATTGTTGACATAGAGTGCACCGTTTGGAAAAATCAATTATATCGCTGTCGATTTTAGGCCAATAAACATGCAGACGTGCTAATGACTGCATGGCGTTTATTCCGTTGTGACCATCATGAAGCATTTCTAAAATGGGAAGTTGAAGTGTTTTCGGGATACACAATCTTCCGTTCCAGAGGACAATTCCGTCTTCGTACGATAGTTCATTTCTTTTTTCAAAGTAAGTGTGGAGTTCGCTATGCAATAAGCTTTTTGTGGGCCAGTGCGACGTTATATAGTTTTTTACTGTGTTTAAAATTTGATCTTTGAGGGTTTGTTTTCTAAGTGTTTGGCGAGTAACTGGAATATTGTTTAGACGAAGGTGAAGTAGGTGTGCAAATTGAGGTAAACCAGCACGTTCTTCAATCGTAGAATTAGTTTCAGAAAGAGGAAGCCGTGAAAGTGCATCTGCTGGTGTATTTTCTTTTGCAGTGTGGTACTTAATTGAGTAGTTGTAACTGTTTAAAATCATAGCCCACCGTAAAAGTCGGTTGCTGGCAACTTTTGGAGTTTCTCTATTTGGGCTGAAAATTCTTTCAAGCGGTTTGTGATCGCTAAGTAATGTAAATTTTCGTCCGTAGACGTAGTGATGGAACTTGGTAACACCATAAATGATGCCCAAAGCTTCTTTGTCGATAGTCGAGTAGCGTTGTTCAGTTTCTGTTAAAGTTCTTGATGCAAAAGCAATGGGTTTTAAGATATCATTATTTTTATGGAAAAGAACCGCACCTACACCTTTATCAGATGCATCGCTGCTCAAATACAAAGGAAGTTGTTCATCATAATGTGCCAGTGTATCTTTAGAAGTCAAAATTATCTTTAGATGGTTAAATATTTCGTTATCTTCTTGTGTCCAGTTCCATCTCTGTCCTTTTTTAAGGTATCTATAAAGTGGTGCACATCGTGCATGTAGATTTGGAATAAAACGACTATAATATGTTATAGAACCTAAAAATGATCTTAACTCTGAGGTATTCGTTGGTGTAGGCATCTTTTGTATTGCTTCAATCCGCTCATCAGTGGGGTGTAAACCGTCTTTGTCTATTTTATGCCCAAGGAAGATAAGACTATCCTCTAGCCATGAACATTTTGCAGTTTGGGTTTTGATACCCGCGTCTTGTAATCTTTGTAGTACTGCCCGTACTCGTTGTAGATGAACATCCAACGAACTAGCGGTAATTAAAATGTCATCTAAGTAACAGACTACGCCATCAAGACCATTCAGTATGTGATGCATAGTTCTTTGAAAAACTGCGGGTGCAAAAGATATTCCGAAAGGGAGGCGTTTATATCGAAAATATCCCTTGTGTGTTGAGATCGTTAGATACTTTCTAGATTCAGGATGAATTAATAATTGAAGGTATGCGTCCTTCAAGTCAATTTTTGTAAAATGTTGACCGCCTGCCAAATTTGCTGTTATTTCTTCAAATCTCGGTAACGGATAGTCATCTATTTGAACATAAGAGTTTATCGTTACCTTAAAATCCGCACAAATGCGAATGTTTCCATTTGACTTAATCGCCACGACGATCGGTGAAGCCCACTCTATAGAGGTTTCCATTGTGTCGACTGGCTCTATGATTCCTTCGTTAACCAGACGCTGAAGTTCGTTGTTCACCTGTTCGCGGAGTGCTAAAGGTACTGGTCGTGGGCGGAATGCTTTAGGTTGGACGTCATTTGAAATATGGATCTTTGCCTCGTGTCCTTTAATTGTGCCTAATTTTCCATCAAAAAGCTCTTTGAATTCGTCTAACAGTTTTTTGATTTCATATTTTATGTTAACAGTGTTATGTTGTTCATTTTGTTTTATGTTGCACAGTTTAGATCCAGTAGGCATTGGTACATCAAATTTTAGACACCAATCTAGACCAAAAAGTGGCATATCATCGTGCTCTGTCACGTAAGCTTCTGAAATTTGTGTGGAATTGAACGCTGTTACCAACATCTCACAAGTGCCAAGTGTCTTGATTTTTACGTCAGTGTATGCTACAAGTTGTTTACATTTTTTTAACTTCGGTGAACCTATTCGTTTCCATAGTGATTTTCCGATAACAGAGTGCACTGCACCAGGATCGTATAACATGTCTACGCTTATCTTGTTCAGTTTTGTTGGAATCATGACTTTGGTGACCATATATTTTGTAGAGTTCACAGGGAAAATATTGTCACTGTTTTGACTTAGTTCTTCAAGTTTATTATCATCTGTTACGTGTCTTGTTTTAAAATGTTCAATTTTGGCTTTCCCGGTTGTAATACAAACCTTGGCGAAATGATTTTCTTTTCCACAAGCTTTGCAGATTTGACCTCTAGCTGGACAATTATCCCTGCGATGGGGCCCTTGCCCACAGAACATGCATGTTTTGAAATTTGACTTTTGGTTAAATTTGTTGTTATATGCGGGTTTCTGATTTGGTTCCCTTTGAATAATTTTGTTTATCATTGGATCTGTGTTTAATTGATTATGTTGAGTTAGTCTCAGGCTTTGTACTAATGCTTGTTCTAGCTTCGTTGCAGTTCCGACTACATCTGTAAATTTTGCTGCGTTGTTGGGATGTTCTTTTATTAGCTCTTGTTGCCATTGAAGATTATTGATTCCAATCACAAATTGATCTCGGAGGCGCTCATCTAAATTGTTTCCGAATTCACAGTAACCAGCCAGTGACCGTAGCTGTAGTACATATTGTGAAACTGTTTCATTTTCTTTTCTGTATCGTGTTCCAAAATTTACTCGTTCCGATAAAACGTACGTCTTTTTACCAAAATATTCATTTAAAACGTTAACTAATTCTAAAAATGTTTTTGTTATTACATCGGTTGGCCTAAAATAGTCAACAAGTACCTTGAAGGCAGTTGGGCCGATTCTTGAAAGTAAAATGTTCTTACGTTTTTGTTCATTTTCATTTGACAATAAGCCATGTAAGGAGAGTTCAATGTTGAAACGTTGAATATAGTAATCCCACTCTTCTACATTAGGATTAAAATTGTCAAAACAAAATTTTTCGGTCGACATCCTCGTCGCCAAACAATATTGTATAATTATAACATTAAAACAATGTATTGTAAAGCAATGGTGTTTACTTTTCAAAATCACGTTACTAACTATATGTCATACATGACAAAGAGCATAACTTCATAAATAACATAAATGACCATGAAGTATATATACAACACAAAGAAAATACAACATACTGATTCATCTCTCAGGGAACCGAACTACTTGACGGATCGTGCTGAAATTTGTAGCTATTAGGTATGGTTTAGACTCTATATTATTTCCAAAAGATTTCTAAGACAGTTTTCTAAATAACTTTTGGGAAAAATTCACCTCCAAGGGGTTTGAACAGGAATTTAAAAAGGAAATAAAACTGATTGACATTTTATTTATGGAAAAGTGGAAAAGTACTTAGTACAACAGCACGTTGGACTTAGTACAACAGTAAAATTTCTGCACTTGATTTTAAATTTTGGGTAGAGTTCAAAATCAATTGAGGTAATTTCATATATTAAGGTTGTTACCGACGTAGCGGTCTTTACCTAGTTGTTTATCTTTAATTGAAAATAAAAAAAATAAAAAAAAAACTGGTTATTTATTTATTGTGTCGTAGTGATTAAACCAATACTCGACAAGAGTATTTTAATTATGGAATATATTTTGTAATTCTCTTTCTCTTATAATTATGAATGAGATAGGTTATTACATGGAAAAAATTAATGAAAAAGGAGTACCTTCGGAATATCATATAGGTCCACAACTTCACTTCAAATGTAATACTTTTTCTTGTTAACAGTGAGAATGGGTTCCTTACCGCGGCTGTCAGTGGTAACCGGCTCAAGAACAATGGTGCCAGCGGCGCCGTTGCCGAAACATCTCTCACACTGGGCTAAAAGTGATATGACTGCTTTAGTTTTTGCAGGTTAGTTTAATGTAAATTTAAATTAAAATGTAGACTAAAATATTTTTTTTGTCTCTGGTCCAGAGGGTACATTTTAATACAATAATGTACGTGAAGATTATCTGTGTAAATGAAAGGCAGCGTCAAGTCCTAAATGCATCATTTTGAAGTAATTTCCTAAAATTGACGAAATATATTTTTCGTCACAACTGATTCATATAGTTGTTTGAGACTGGAGCAAAATGATGTTTTTTAAATATGATTTTTTAATCTAGCTTTATAATAAATAGGGAAATGTAATACAAATCAAGCGATGACAAGATTATTTCTTTTTAATTCATAGATGAGACTTGCAGCGTTCGCATCAGCTATAGTGAACTGGAAGCACGCACCAATGCTCTATCTAGGGCTATTGCTAAACGAGCAAGAGTCTCTGGTGCAAACAGGGATGGAGATTACGTTATCGCTGTCTGCATGCAGCCTACACATAAGTAAGTTTTGAGGGATTGTCCAAGGGTAAAAAAGAAACACTCAATTAATGAACTAAGCCAACCAGAAATTATTCAGATCTCAACATATTTTTATTGACCAATTAGTCTCATGGCCTATTGCACAAACGTCCATTAAGGTTCAATAACGTCTCTAAGCTCTAATTAATGTCAAATTTGTATGAGTTAAGTTGCTTTAAACTAATGAACATTATAATGGACGTTTGTGCAACAGGCTATCAATCAATAAAACAATCATAGATCAATAAAAGTGAGGAACAGAAATTGCCCGCACGCCGTACGCCGTGCGAGTACATAGTTTTGAAGCAGGATTAATAAGCTTACTACCCATGTTTATCAAGTTTGTTTCAATAAAAATTCTGAGTGGGTCTAGAATTAATATTATCACTTTCACAACATAATGCGTCTTCTTTCTTATATTCTGTAGCTAAAGTTTATATTTTTTATTAAACTTTTCACAATTTTTTATCAGCACTATTATGGCATTGCTGGCTACTTGGAAAGCTGGCGCGGCATATGTGCCGATGGAACCCAGTTTCCCTCAAGCAAGGATATCACACATTCTGAAGGATGCAGAACCAGCACTTGTTATATACGATGATATTGGTAAGAACCAAGAAGACAATTCTTCATTCTTCGAATACCCAATATCCTAACAACCTGATTTCTTGATTTACCAAATTCTGAATAGTACGATGGATGGATGGATCTATGCAGTAGATTGTTTTGAAGAACCCACGATAAGGTCGTTGTGTTCTATTAAAAAGCCGCCCCATTAAAAAGTAGATTAATTTTCGATTGTTGTATTTTGGCAGAATAAGTCACTTACTGTTATTAATAATCTATTAGTAATATTGTCTATGGTTACCGTCTAAGATTATATGAACTCTGAAATATAGGCGACCTTTATTTCGCTATTTCTGGTATAGTCATCTTAATGTTGTAATTATTTTTTTTCTTAGCAAATCCATCGATGTTTTCCGCGAGCGGGGTACCGATTGTTTCCTTCGATGAGTTGGACGCTGAAGCCAGCGGTTTATCAGCAGAATCACCAAGCGATGGAGAAAGACTTGCTACCCTCAGAACTCATGCTATTGCTATAGTTTTGTATACGTCTGGTAGCACGGGTATCCCTAAAGGTAATTCAACTAGAGCATAAGTTTCGATATCTGAACTATTGATACATTTTCTGATTGAAAATCTGGGGAATGAGCTAAAATAGAATCAAAATAATTTAATTGATTAATTACATTTTTTAATTAAAAAAATAATTTAAATTTGATACTTAGATAATACATCATAACTATTAAAAATTTGAAATAATAATATTTTTTAAAATAAAATACTACATTCTCTATTATTAGTTAAATAAACGATTTGACATATTATAAGAAGATCTACCTATTGATAATTATGACTTGGTTGTTTTTGTTTAAGGCATCATAGAAATTTGTGATGGTAAGCTAAGATCTTTATTTGTCTCTAGGGGTCCGTCTACCCTACTCGGCCATCTGCAATCGCCTTTGGTGGCAATTCCGGACATTCCCTTATTCCAACACAGAGGTCAATTGTGTCTGGAAAACTGCATTGACTTTCGTCGATTCAGTATGCGAAATCTGGGGCCCTCTGTTACATGGAAGGACTTTGGTCATATTGCCTAGAGAAACCACAAGAGATCCACAAAAATTGGTGCGAGTGTTACATGAGAATCAGGTGTGTAAATGTAATAAGAAATAAGCAATTTTTCTAGTTGTCATTACTAAAATATTGGGCGCACCTCTTTGTCTTGATGAAGAGAGTGCAGTGGCGCTTGCGGAGAGGGATCGATTCTTTCCGCATATCCATTTATAATTCAGCTTGAAAATATATTACTTTACCTACTACATAAAACCTTGTTATCATGGCTTTGTCACAAAATAATCTTGTTTGAAAACATTGAACATATAATTTTATCATGACCAAATATTTTTTTAGGTGCAACGTCTAGTTCTCGTGCCAACACTTCTGCGTTCTATTCTTATGTACCTTTCTCTGGAACCTTCAAAAAGACCTTTGGAAAATCTTAAACTATGGGTATGTTCCGGAGAAACCCTTAGCAAAGAGTTAACGTTAAAATTCTTCCAATATTTTGGGGATCATAGCGGTTACAAGCTGGCAAACTTCTACGGTAGTACTGAGGTCATGGGAGATGTGACGTACTATGTCCTGGAGAATAGTGAACAGTTGGATATCCATAATACGATACCTATAGGTAAGTACGGCTAAGCCTTATATATAGCGGATAATTTTAACTACGGAACGTTCAAAAAGGTCGAATCATTTATTAATTTATACAAATAAAGGTAGTTTAAACTAAATCAAACAAATTCACAGTTGAATAGATAACGGTTGCAATACTCTTGCACACTTTGGTTTCGATCCTGATAAACGACATTTTTAATTCTGGAAATAACCAAATAATAGTTTACTTCCCTAGAAAGACGTGGACCCACCCTAAAAAAATACCCTTCCTCATACATAAAATAATTTAATATTAAAAAGATTCAAAGCTGGGGACATTGCCCCTCCTAGGAAAAATCCTTAGCTAAGCCAATGAGCATTAGGGTTGTGTAACGCACACATTTTTATTGAGGATCAATGAGGACCTTATTTTACCTCATCAGGTACTCGTGAGGTACACCTCATTGAGGTGAGGTACACCTCATTTGAGGTGAGGTAAAAATTAAATAAACGTAAAAATTGAGTATGTAGCTAGGCGTAAGGCAAATGAGGGAGGGAGTCGGACTCTTTGCATGCGCCGCTACTTGCTAGACAAGCCGACAGAAACATTTGTGATAAATAATCGAATATTGATAGCTATAATAATTAAATATTGTTGTTAACAAATATTGTAAAAATATTTTCTTTCGTAAAAATATTTTATTACATTACAATTTTTTTTTACTTATATACGTTTCGCTTTACTTTAACCGATTAATGTTATTGATCTAACATAAGGTTAAATTGGCATTAGTTGCGAGGGAATGCTAAATTAAATTTAACTGAGTCGTTCTATCAAAGTCATAAAACCGACCCGACCCACTCCCTCAATCAATCGTTAATATTTTGATAATGTATCGACTCAACCTTTAATTCTAAGCATCTCACTATTCTGTTGAGTGAGGCATATTATCTGTGTTTGCACCTAATGCTCGACGTCTCAAAAAGTGAGGAGTAAAATGAGCTAGGTCAAAGTTGAAAAACGAGTACTACCTTATTTTATTGAAACGAGGACATAAAACGAAGCACCTCACGTGTGAGGGACTCATCACTAATGAGCATTTCCTAACATTTCCTGATTCATGGACACAGAAATCTAAAGACGATTTTAAGTGACCCTCTTATTTGTAATAAAAAAGCTTCTGGATTTTGCTATTTTTTTATAAATAAACATGTTAATGTACCTAAACCATGGTACTACTTGTTAGCAATTACATTGATGTCAATATTGAGTTCGTTGGTGCTATTCATTGTGCTTAGATTTTTGCGGTTCCCTATACAGTTGGTACTCGTAGTTTTCCAAGTCAACGTATTCAAAAGTCAATTAAAAAGTTTAAAATTAGATCTGCTTTACACTTTTTTATTTTATGTCATTAATTGATTAAATTATTAAACATCTCTCGTTTCTAAATACATACAAACTGTACAACATTATCTCTTATAAAAATAAAATATTTGATAAAATTTTGTAAAGGATTACTGACTATAAATCTTATAACGACCTTATAACATCAGTAATGACCATTACCTGGCCATTAATTATATCAAAAAAGGGAACAAGTAATAAATAATGCCTTCAATCTTTATGTAAATTAGATAGGTATTGTTTCAGTCAACATTCAATTAAAGAAATACAAAAATGCATTTGAATTGTAAAAAACCGATGAATACTAGTCAATTATTATTTTAGCTCAATTGTTTCATTCAATCTTCTGCTAATGACAATTTAACATGAACATCTCGGCATTTGCAATAACCAACATTTATTTCGTCTGCATAGGAAAAACAATATAAAAATATTTAGCGTTAGTAGCACCAACTTACTTTACCATAACAAACATGTTAAAGTACCGGTTAAGCTAATAATGAGTCATCGTTTGGCAATGGTTGGATGACGTCATAACATTAACTGTAAATTTTAACCGCCCAAGATTCGCTAGTTAAAGTGATTATTTTACTATGCCAAGAAAATTATGGTCCAACGCATTCCACACACAATGTTAAAGTCAGCGTGACAGATATTGACAAATTTGATATAAACCTTAACTTTAACTGTAATGATGCAACCGAAGCCTAGTCTTGGTTGGTTGAAACTTAGGCGTTAGTAGTTTACAATTAAAGTCGTAACGTCATCCAATAATTACTAAATATATACCTCATTATTATTTACTCAACTGGTACTTTAACAAGTTGGTTATTGTTAAAGTAAATTGGTGCCACTAACCCTTAGTTAACTTACAGTATATGTTTGTACGTGCGTCAAAAATTCTGCCACTGAATTTTAAAGCAGTTGTTTTCAACCGGTAACAATGAAATTTTGCATACAGGTTTAGTTTAGATGACATTGGTGCCAATTCTGTTGTACCACTCTCTAAATTAATAGATGTGTAACTTTACCATTATTCCATATTCTTATGTACTTAATCAAGGAATTATAAACTATTGTAATAAGTTTACTTCTTATAAGTTAATTTCTCAATCGAAAACGTAGTTTGACAGGACTAAATTAATTTAGTTTATTCAAGAGAATTGTTATGTGGTATTTTTCTGTAATCGATTTTTTAATAAAAGATAATATTTATCAACATTGTAAATGAGATATTCAACAGTCAGTCATCTTTTACAGGGACACCACTTGACAATTGCAGCGTATACCTCCTTGATGAGGAAATGACTCCGGTGCGCGAACATGAGCCAGGAGAAGTTTGGGTGGCGGGATTGAACCTGGCTGCAGGCTACGTAGGGGCGCAGGGCGCGGACAAGTTCTGCGACAACCCTCATGCAGATCACACTGGTCAGAACGAAAAGTTATACATAATCGTTCTTCACCTAAGTCTGGTTACTTTCACGTGATGGGTTTATTAATAACTAGCATTATTGGTCTATAAAACAATTTGAGACCGATAACTGTTTTTACATTCCATATTGACGTATCTATCGAATATGATTAACGTCTTCCTTATTTTAATATATGCCACTTTTACACCCAAGATTTCGTCAAGGTCGGTTAACCAATGAGATTAATTCAAAGTTCTAGAATTTATGCTGTAAAAAAAGAGGTTCTGTATAGGATTACTTGAATCTATCTGACTCCATTTTTTTATTTCTTTACAAAATATTATAAAGAATGAGCAAGCTAACGAAATATGTAAAGCTGCTATTCGCCTTCGGCTATGATGGAGTGTGTATATCTCTGATTTATTACAGATTTCAGCAGGCTTTATCGTACTGGAGATTTCGGTATTCTGAACAAGGGTGTGATCTTGTATGCTGGCCGTACTGATTCTCAAGTCAAGATTCGTGGCCACAGGGTAGATCTGCAGGAAGTCGATCGGGCAGTCAGCGCTATTAATGAAATTGACAAATGTGAGCCATTAAAATTGAGAGACATAAAAAATATAGCTTATTTACACAAATAATCAATTAACAATAAATATTTAAATTCGTTAACATGAACGATAACTTAAAATAATATTTTCTCAATTCGCTTCAACGATTTAGCACATAGTCTTTCACTTTGATGCATGAAGTGCCTTACTATATGATTTATCAAAATCTAGTTTAGTATTAATCAAGAAAGTTTATAACTAGAAAACGAATATATAATGTAGGTAAATAATGCTATATTATTTAAACAGGTGTTGTGCTCTGCTATGGACTGGACATTGGCAACCCTGAGATCTTAGCATTTGTGACTGTTACACCAGAAGCTAGACTTTCAGCTCAACATATTGAAGCGAAATTGGAAAACTCACTTACACACTACATGATACCGCAAGTGAGTACCTTTTTTAAATGTATGGATTACTGTTAGTTGAACAGATGAACATTTCGTAAATTGGTCACGCCATTTGTTTTCAATTTTAATGAACCAGTCTTCTGGATTTCAAAAAATCCTAGTTCGAGTCCCAACTACATTTGGAATGAAAAAATTAACCTGAAAATTTAATTTAAGTGTCCAAATATGATTTTTCATCGTTCCTAATTTGACCTAGGTGATCGTGATCGAAAATATTCCATTATTAGTAAATGGAAAAGTGGACCGACAAGCGCTTCTGAAGATGTATGAAAACACCAACAATAATGGTAAATACATTTTCATGATTTCAATTAATCAAATCTGGTCAATAATAATAAACATTTGAAGTTCAAAATTTTTGAATATTTTGCTGATATTGACATTTTCCGCATAAACGGTTAAAGATAGCTATTCTTTAACTGTTAAGGAATTTTGAAATAATTCTTAAAAAAATAAAATTTTCGTCTTCTAGATGACTCCAGTATTCCTTTGGAAATGGACTACACCGGGGTAGAACCTGAAGCACTGGAAACAGCACGAGTACTTTTCGAGACGGTTGTTGAAGTTCTAGGCCGAGCCGTCAGAGGAGCGTTATCAGTAAGGGTTGGATTCTACGAGTTAGGCGGCAATTCTCTGAACTCAATTTACACGATCACAAGACTTCGTGACAAGGGATATTATATTGGTATGTTTTATGTATATTTCTAATAGACATAAACAAGATAGTTACTGGGAAGAGAGTTATATTACACTCGTTGAGTAAATACCGACAGACTGATTTTTCGCCCATTTGTATCGCTGCGGCACAGAAGCTGTTAATTATCTTCTCACAGTTACATCTGATTTTCTATTATATATTTTTTTTGTTTTTCCGGGAGTATGGAGTCTGAGTTCTCACGATGATTCTCTATATATGTGTGTTAAATATAAGTTTTGAATATTTTTTAACGCACTCTATAATGACTATCACGGCTTAGGAACTTCTTGAGAACTCCAAACTTTAACTCAACCAATACAAAATAAAAAACAATCAAGTGTTAGCTTTACATAAATTTTTGTTAGATGTTTTGGAACCTAATTTACTTTGAAAACCATTTCTTTACGGGACAACGCTTCTATGCAATAGAAAGCGCGGAAATACTTATTGAAAAATGCTATTCTCTCATGGCAAGTTACAAACAGTTTACGGAACCTTTTCGTTATCTTTTCTGTCGTATTTAGATCGTTATAAAATAACAAGAAATTCGAAAAAGACCCTTGATTTACAACTTATATTATTGCTATTATAGAAATCAGCGACTTTCTCGGCGCTTCCAATCTTGGAGAGGTCCTATCTCTGATCAGCACAAGTCCCGACAATGTGAAAGAAATCAACGAACCCAAGTTCACCCCTGAACCAATGAGAGACGAGGATAAGCAACAAGTTATAGAGTAAGTATAGTGGAAAAAAAATACACCGGTATTTCAAGGTTAACCGAATTTAAATTTAATTATAGTATAGTTAATGTTTGAAGAATGTGATATTAAGTAAAAATCATCAAACCAATCATTTTTTAAGTATCAATGCCTGTTTGTATTTCTTAGTGTACCTACCCAATTTCACTCTATTCCTCAATTTATCATAGAAATTGGGGGTAAATGTAAGGGAAGAGCTGAATCATTTCTTCAATTATTATATTTGATAAATTTTGCATTTACAATGGTAGGTATACTGGTAAATATGTTTCGTGGGTTCCAATACCATTTCAGAGTACCAGGAACAACGTCGAATTTTTAAACATCTTTCATTAAGAATACACTCCTAATTGTAAAAAAGCACCCAAAGTGGTGCTTCTAACAATTAAATATCCTAAACATAGCTGGCTGTCATTTAAGTCCACTAAGACATTATCTTATTTAAGTTACAACCGCCAAGTATTGATTTGAAAAATATTTCTTCCACAGTATGATTGTGTCCTCGTTCTACGAGAAAGCTGAGCTCGAGCAATTCTTGAAACATGAGATAGACACAGTGGATTATGCGCACTGTATTGAAGCTTGCTGGGTCGCGCTTCTGCAGGCTAGACTGAGCGTAGTTTTGAAAGATGGTTTGTATAGTTTCTTTATTTTATTATGGCCGCTTAACCTTAGCTTAGCGTAGTGAGTAGATCGGTGGTGTAGTAGATAAATGCTGGAGTCTACGATCATTGTTGTTAAGATAGCTTTACAAAGGTCGGTCACGGGATGGATGACCCAAAAATTATTATCTCGAGCTACGTGCTTCGGAAAGTATTCGTATTGTTGTTGGCATGCCAGCATGGGAGGTCATGGCCCAACCTCCATAACGAAGGCCTGAGATCCTACAGTGGATACGTAAAGAAGCTAATGATTAAGCGTAACCTTCAGTATCGAAGAATTTAAATTTGAAAGTAATTATTTTGTACCATATAACAAAAATGCTTCCGGTGTTAGAATCGGACAGACGTTAAAAAAAGATTAATATGGTTACGTATACATGATTCAAATATTTTTCACTGCTAGTTGTTATAGATGTTTTTAATTTCTCCAACTTCCCCTTCTCAAACTCCCCAACAATCTTACAGTTCAATGCACTGTTTTTTTGCTGTGCATTGAATTTTATTAGGTATACCTACTCTCAAACTACTTATCGTCACTTAAACAGGTTTTCGATTCAATTTATTTTTATTTTCAGTTGATATCGATTTGAAGAAAACTAGTACATTTTGACTTGTGAAACGTAAAAACTTAATTTATTGAGAATAATCTGTTGAGTTTTGTACTTTCCTCAAATCCGATACCGGCTGATAGGCACTAAACTGCATGCTTACGCTTGACGCAAGGCGATCGGAAAGCAGGCAAACGCAAATTTAAATGCATAATGATATTGAAAGCGTCCTGGTGTTGATATTATCAAATCGATGTGTAATGTACATAAATTGAACAAAAACAGCGATATCATCTCAGATTCCTGTCTCTGGTACACTTACTGTGTTGCTATAATAACGTACTGTGTCTCTTCTCCGCCTCTCCATCGAGACCTGAAACTGTCAATGCGCACGTCACGCATTAGGTACCTTTACGCCAAACATGATATCGTAACTTAACTGCTAAGGTTTAGCAGAACCAAAAACTTCTGAACTATATACGACTAATAAGAGAACAAAACATTGATTATGTGTGTTGTTATTATAGCGAGTGGCAGTCCTGTGGCTGTAGCCCTGAATTTCGATGCACGCGACGAGCCAGAGATTGAGCTGGCAGGTGGGCTGGCCAAGATCATGGCCTTCTTAGAGTTCGTTGAAGGCTCAGTAAGAGACACTATGCTGCCTGATGGGAAAGGTACATACATATATACATCATTAGTATGGTCATCCCTTCTGAAATAAGACGTACTTTTATTGTAATTTTTGTAGACATCCAGCTCTAAGGACCATTCGGTTAAACTTATTTGAATTGCGTTCTTTCTTTTTTATTCTTCTTTATAATTATATATCCATTCAAGAACATTATAATAGTCATAAATAAATTGATATTATTGTTTAAAACAGGAGCCATACTTCACTCTTTTATGATGGCCACAGCATCGACCCTAACTCCCAGAGAAAACGTAGCAGCCATCCGGGCTTTAGAGCATGCTACTATGCGTGTAGCTAGGGAACGTCGATTCCAGGGAGTGTTCACTACAAACACTAGCCCACTCACACAGGTAACACTACAAACACTGATAAAACACTTTAATGTTAATTACCTAATATATATAAACTCATCAAAACATTACATCTAGTCTTGTTAGTCCGTTCACAAACAGATAGTGTTGTCTTTTACAAACACTAACCTATTCATAGGACAAACAACAAATCCTTTTCACAAATACTAAAGTCAACTTGCTACTAAAACTTATAAAAAGAACCCTTGTAGAAATTTTTGACTAACTGCAGAAGTTTTGGCTATATGCTAATATTTAATACATACATTTAATAACCTGGGTTGTTGGTAATTTCCCGGCGAAAGTTTTGATAAATCCTACGGAAAACAAAGTTTCCAGTCTATAATTTGTACTTAAAAACTTTTTACTATTATTTTTCTATAGAACTAGAAACAATAGACATAAAAAGAAAACTGGATAAACTTAGCCAGTTATATATTATGATAATATAGCGCATAAATTTATGTGTTCATTTTCTTTGACAGCAACTTGGTACTGACGTGCTCGGTTTCCAAACACTTTTGGACTACCAAATCAACCAATATGTGGACGCCAACGGAGACAGGATATTCGGGAAGGCCCCAGACGACATGAGGGCAATCGTGTGCTGGAAACCTGTGGACTGAGTGTCCTCTTCAATAATCAATTTAGTGTAGGATTATACTTATTGTTTCCCAAACGTCAGTATAGTGAAGTATTCGTAAAATATTTGATTAGCTGCTTGTTCTAATGTTACGGATATCAGATTTCATTTTTTAAGTATTCTACTTCGTGCTATATTATTACAATTTTCCTTATGTTGAACAATATGTAAGTAAATATACCTAAGCATAATATTGAATTTTATTTAAAACGGTAAATTCAGGGAAATTCTAAGTATCAAGTATTTATAAACACCGATAGGCTTCCGTTAAGATTATTTGTATATGAAAAAATTCACTGTGATTTTATTTTATATAATATTTAAAATAATAACAAATATATAAACCATTACAATGTGATTGTATAAAAAACCTTCATAAAGACAGCTACTACAGTTATCTCGTAACGTAATAATATTGCCAATTAAGCGTCTGTCTTGATAAGGATCTATTAAATATTAAAAAGTTGACAGTAGATACATTAAAATGTACGTTACTGTATGCATACATAACGTAGACCTTGATTTTAATTAAAATCTCTATGTAATTTATTAATTATGTTATTTAACACAAAATTTATAAGTAGATAATTATGTAATTGGTAATGACTAATTTACGAGCCAATAATTATGCTGAATCCATGTCATGATACAAAATACTTATAGTTACTAGAGTTTGTAATCGATGTTCTTCACTACATAGTATAAAACAAAGTCGCTTTGTCTGTCCTTATATCTCTATGTATGCTTAAATCTTTAAAACTATGCAACGGATTTTGATGCGGTTCTTTTTCTTAGATAGGGTGATTCAAAAGGAAGGTTTTTATGTATAATACAAGACTACGCATGCGAAGCCGCTGGCGGAAAGCTAGTAGATTATAAAATAACTATGCTTACAATGTTTCTGTGACTTATACCAATTTATTGGTAACCTATATTCTAATGCAATCAAAAGCTGAAGTTAATTTTTAGCTTTGTGTTGAGATATTATTAATTTCTAAATCAGAATTAATGTTAAAGTTTAAATTCTGAATCGATTCAAATACAAATGAAAAGTTAGGAATTTTATTTACGTTTCCGTTATTACATTGGTATTGAAGTGTCCTTCATTCATATCGTTTTAGGCAGAAAAAGGCTTGTGTTGTACCTATAGCTATATTTTAATTTGTATCGAGGTCGTTATGTATTTGCATCGATGAAATAGTTATTTGTATTTATTCAAATGTACTAGTTTTAATTTTGAAATAAGTAGTAGTTCACACATAAAGATAGCATTTTAAGGCTTAGTGAGTACAAAGCAGTCGCGTTTACGAATTATTATTATAATTTTGCGTTAATTTTTATTTCCCCGAGATTGAGTCTACTTAAAGGTTATTTTTAAGTATGAATTGAGGCATGCCATTTTCTTTTTAAAATAGATTACAGCGATAAAATAATTTTGATACATGTGATTAAAATTCATAATAAATATTCTACCAGAATCAACCATCTCTCTGAGAGTTACAACTTACAACTAATTTATTCTATGTATCTTGTCTAATTTAAGTGGTGTATATTAGTATTAGTCTAGTCGAAATAGACATAAATATAATGATCATATAACAATATGTTCGACAGAGCGAAACTTTGGTAGAGACCTTTTTAAAAATAATACGTCACAACTTCCCTGTGCAACTTCCCATAGATCTTACTTGTAAAAAATGTTTAAATCAAAGTTAGTTCTTTCGGATTTTTCTCAAAAAGACAAATATTGTAGATCATAATGTTATCAGCTAGTTCAACTGATAAGTTCAACCGGTTGCACTAATAAGATTACGTGTTAATTCTCTTAAAGCTTGAACGGGAGTTGTAGCTTTTAATTCTTACTCCCTCTAACCAAAATTCAGCTTTGTCATAATTTTTCTAATAAATATGTCAATTTTGACTGGACTATATGTATTTTTAAGATAGAATAATGGGACCAATTAAAGTATCTACTTATAAAATAAATTATAGTTCCTAAAAGAAATTGAAAACGTATGCCAGTGATATAATTTATTATTTTAATAATTGATTTACTAAAGAATCTAATTAATAATTTCCGTAAATTTCAATACAAAATATGCTTACATTTATGTATGTCTTCATATTTTCAAATTATAATGTGCGGTTTGTTAAAAAAAAAAATTAAAATACCTATCCTGTAAGAATTATAGTATAATTATTTGAAAGAATTTGTTGATTTATAATAAAATAAGTCGCATAATAAAAACAGGTGATTCATTTTCCTATTACTTATTTTTTGGTAAGTATTACAGAATTATACTGAATTCTGTGCTCCAATTTTTGCGATCAGTGTCGCCATTTTCCCTTCTTTATTTTTTGTCATATTTATATTAACTTTTTTACCGCAGTAGATAGAGATATACATGAAAATTTTTCCTGATCTGTTATTTGACTGTGACAGAGTTTATAAGTTAGATAGCATGTAGATTAATAATAATTTAGAGCCGCGTTGTCTAGCTAAATAAAGAGTCATTACTGAATAAATAAGAATAATACGCTGTTGTATCTTTACGTTCATGTAAAGCAGTGGTTGTCTGGTGACACACAACAAGTCTGACTTAGTGCTGATATCCACTTTTACTGGGGGTGAAGCTACAACATACGTGAGTGAAATAGGCTATAATTTAAGCGTGAGAAGTCACGGGAATTATTTATTTAATTGGTATTTATCTTCATCATAGGTGCTCTTCTGTTGTTAATACAGCTTCGAACACAGCACTATGACAGGATTACATTTTTAAATAATTAAAACCTTGCAACCTCCTATTATACCTCTAATGCTACGACAGCGATGCTGCATTCCATGATGTATTTTGCAAAATACCAAAGCAATATTATCTTTTTATATTATATAGGTTAATAAATAAAAATACAAGTTTAGAATATCTATATAATCGGTATATTTAATAAAATACAAAAAAAAACATATATTTCGCTAGATTAACTTTAATTGACTAGAATAATTAACTATGAATTGGATTATTATATTTAATCAGTTTTGCATTCACATTGAATACTGATATATGGCAGACTAGACTGATATATATTTTTAATGAAAAATGTTTAAAAGAGCATTCGCTCGCGTGGGAAAGGTTGTGGGTTCGGTATCTGGTGAGTTGAAGGTAAACGGGATGGGGGATTTTTGAAGCATTTTTCATAAAAAAAAATATAAATTAGGTACCTAACATAAAAGAGTTATAAGAACCAAACGAAGATATCAAGGCTCACTGCATCTCAAGTGTAATGACCGAATTTGCTCACTTAAACATCTTGTACCTTATTACAGCAGGGGGCCAATTCTACTAAATAAATTTTGTTTAAATCGAATCGAAAATGAATCGAAACCGAACGAAACTACAATTTTTAATGGTTTTTCTATTCTACTAAGTGACTTACGATACAATTCCATCTAAAATAGAACTGGAACAAGCTGAAAACCATTAAAAACCGTAGTTTTGTCCGGTTTCGATCCGTTTTCGATTCGATTTAAACAAAATGTATTTAGTAGATTTGGCCCCCAGTAATCACAGCAGTTTTGTTTACAAATAGTTTGCGTACCAGATACTATATACTACATTCATAATATAACAGGTATTTTAAGATTGGCTAATAATACTAAATCACTAGGTCACACTATTAGAACAGATTCCATTTACTCGGTATTTTACAATACTAGGCCGCACCTTCACCTACTATAGTTCTTCTTTTCACAATTTTTGACTATATTTATAACAGTGTTAAATTTAATAATAAGTTAGGCGCTAGTATAAAAAAGTGTTTATAACAGATTCATGTATTAAGTACACCCAATACTAGCTTAATTACTTAATACACAAAGTATTCCTGCAAATCATATGATTTTCGTCTCTACGCTAAGACATTGGAGACCATATTTCCAGGTACGTGTCATTCCAACCTAGTATTTTTCTCCATATCATAATATTCGACTTTAACACAATAAAGTTTTTATAGTTAGACATCTGCAATAACTAAAAAATACAAGGTGGATTAGGTATTTGGATCGAGTATTATATAAAACTAGGAATATGTATACCTAGTATCAAATTTACCTAGTAACCCAACTCTACACACAATATCGTCGGTCATATTATTATATTTATGTATTAATGGCTAATGTTGTCTAGCCAATCAATTTAATATTACCACTACGACCTGAATTCAAGATACAGTTCTTTTTTTATTATTGTCGTTACAAAAGGATTAATTAAAAAATGCACAAACCACTTGTAAAATAAAATAAACATTAAGTTAATCGGTTATTAAACGTAAACATTTATAAAAAATATTTAATAACTGTCGCTTTGACTTTAGCTTTGATTTTAAGTCGTTGAAGTGATATTTTCAGTTCCTTCAAGCTGATCAAATGTATTACACATAGGCACTGAAAATCAGGTTTAATCGAAGATTTAATCACGCTTTAGCAGAACCAGGTTTTGACTGGTGGCTGACCGTCCACAGATGCTTCCTGTCATATGGGACCAATGATTCCGACTTTCGCCAAGTCCGGAACATCGATGTCGTCCAAATTCTTCATAGAAACGTAGTCGGGCTTGATCGGTACATAGTCGTCTGTTCCATCGTCAAAATCTAGTATAGGCTCTTTCAGTTTAGCGTCATTGAGTAGTTTGAGTGATTCTTCGAGCGCTAGATGGCGTTGCTCAGGCGTGTGTGGGCGGGTGGATGGTGTGTCTATGTGTGTAGAGCGTCGCTGTGTGGTGGTGGGGTTAGATGCAGTTGGGGGGTAAGGGGGCGGTTGGGGGCGATTGTAGTCACCGGCGAGATTCCGCGGACTATACGGACGAGCGAGGCTGTTATTAGGACTGGAAAGAATTGATCTGTTAAAACTGTTAATTGGTTGTATTTTAAAAATTAATTCGTATAAATGCATCGGAATCTTAAATGAGGAACATAAACATAACATAAATATCTTTAGTAGGCGGATTTTGTGACATCGACTTTAAGTAAAGTATTAAGTAGGATTAGAGAATGTGTCTACTTGCAAAAAACAGCATTAGACAAACCGACGGATGTAAATATATTCACATTATCAAAAATGAAATCAATAGTTCTATAATATACTAATATTTCATTCAACTATATTAGAATTATAACATGATACGATGTTAGTCTTCTGACATCGTAAAGACATGAAAGCTAAACTTACCTTATACCGAGACTCTTATTGCTCGTATTATCAGCCACTTGTGTCTGATCAGTGTTGCCAGTCCCATACCGACAGATCTCCACATTATTTGACTTGTGAACTCTGAAATAATTTAATTTTAGTAGACATTTCACAACTATTTAATATACACTAATATTATAAAGAGAAAAGATTTGATTTGACGTTTGTGTGTATGTATGTTTGTTTGCTTGTTTGCATAGAACAAGCTCCGAAAGCACAGGGCTGATTTTTTAAAAATTCTTCCACCTACGAGAAGCTACATATGCGGTGAACATAGGCTATATTTTATCCCGAAAAACAAACAAAGGAATTTAAATGGGAGTGGCAGTTTGTATGGGAATTAAAACATTGTTTACTATTCAATTTGTCATTGAATTTATATCCGTCTCATGATATAAATCGATATCCAAATAAACGGTTCTCTAGGCACCACGTGGGCGAAACCGCTGGCGAAAAGCTAGTTAATCACAAAAGTTCTGGTTTAAGTTTTTTACTGAAGGTAGTTTGATTTTTCAAGAATCAATAACTACTCATTTTAATTGCATGGTGTTAGTGGATGTGTTAGAAGCACAAACAACATTAAAATTTTATTCACACAGTTTAAGTTATTAAATTTATAAGTAGTTATAGTACCTTCTTTTTCTGTAATCAATACAAATATGAAATATATTTTCTAGAAAATACTCTGATTCTGAATCTCGCCTGAAAGTTAAAAAATTAAAACGGCACATCAACTTATTTATTAACATATAGAATAGGCACGTATTTATGAACAACAATTAAATATAACTTTAACATAGAAGTTAGATTAATAAACTTTAAACTTGGTCTCTGACTGTCTCTCTCTCAGATGGCATCTCTGAAACCTCGGGTTCGATTTCCGATCGCGTCGAAATGAACAAAAACAACTTTTCTCTCTTGTCTTAGTCTGGATGTCAAGGAACATTCGTTGTTTCAGATTTCAATAACAGAAACAGCATAAATTTCTTCGGATCTAAGCAATGTGAGTGAACTTGTTTTATCTAGCCATAGGATATCTTAACGATGTTATGGCAATATTCGTTTCATTTTAATACTTTGATATATCTTTTTAGGGGTTAAATTACTAAGTTGGTAACACTGCTGCAAAATTCATTATTCTTTATTAATCGTTATTAAAGTACACAAGCGCCCGGGTGCGTTGCACTCCCCAGCACCATGGGTAAACACGGGCCTGAAAGTGTAGGCAAAAGTAGTGTAATGACATGAAATTTCGACCTAATTTTCCTAATATGTCATATCCCATGGCTAGAGTCACGTCCGGTTTCTGAATTGAGAAAAGTACAAAATTTCATCTGATTATTCTAAGTAGCTTGTGGCGTCTCATATTATATATTTATTTTTTATCTGTATAAATTTATTTATCAAATCAATTTATTTATTTACATTTACAGACACAATAAAAATTAAACTAAAACTTCTATTCTAAACAAGCCTTAGAAATACTTATCTAAATAATAGGTCTTTACCTATGAAATTACCATTCTGCCGTACTGGCCATTTCGAATCAAAATATTTTATTGGCTGATAATTCTAATTTCAAATAAATTTTATTTTAAAATTATGGAATTATTTTTCTAAAAACGCTATTTTGTGTTGTGTTTGCAACAATTTGTGTTTTGTTTTCTACGCTTTCAACATTTTTCGTCATCATGGATAAGTTAAAAATTCGAGAAATTATGGTATGTGAATACCGTCGTAACAAAGAGGCATAAGCGGCACCTAACATCAACGACATTATGGAGCGAAAACTACAAACGAACGCACCACCCGTTATTGGTTTGCCCGCTTCCGTTCTGGAAATTTTGACCTGACAAATGAACCCCGTGATCGTCCGAAAACTTTGGTCGACAATGACGAATTAAAGGCGATTGAGGAAGTTTATGAAACTCAATCTACGGTTGAATTAGTAACAGCTTTCGACATGAGCACCAAAACAATATTGCTCCATTCTGTCATATTGGCAAGGTAAAAAAGTTTGACAAATGGGTACCCCACGAACTCAAATATCGCCAGCGAGAAGTATGCGTCGAGACGTGCCTTGTACTGCTCAACACAAATGAAGGAATTCTGAACCTCATTGTTACTTGTGACGAGACATGGATCTTGTTCAACAACCGTAAGCGCTCGAGAAGTTGGTTGGACTCTGATTTAGAACCCAAACAATGCCCTAAACGAAAACTTATCCCTAAAAACGTGATGGTCACTGTTTGGTGGTGTAACGCGGGTGTAATTCAACACAGCTTCTTATCAAATGGGACGACTATTACTGCTGATGTGTACTGTGAAGAATTGAGAACAATAATGTAGAAGCTCACACCTCTCCAATCAGCATTGGTCAATCGTTCGACTCCACTACTCCTGCACGACCTCATACTGCATAGCAGACGGTCTCCATGCTACAAGAGCTGGGGTTGGAAGTTCTCCGACATCCACCATGGTCACCAGGCAAGCTACCAATGCGTTGGCAAAGATGCATAGATTGCATGGGTGATTACTTTGATTAATAGAATTAAAAAATACAGAAAAAAATGCGCTTCATTTATTTTATGAAAATGCAGTTAAAGACGTAAATAATAGATATTATTAATTAAAACAATATTATTTACAATAAATACATTAAAATAATACAAAATATTTTCAGACTTGAACTATAAAATGCATAGCATTAACCACACGCACGTATAGCTAACGCACTGTATATATACTTTGACTGTACTAGCTATTTAATGCCATCCTATTTTTCGTTTGCAACGCGATGACTATTCAAAACATGTAATTAACACGCCTTCCCGATCACCAGTGTGTGACTAATCACGACGCAAAGTGCACATCGTTCGCTCGCTCTCATACAATGTATGTATTTGTCTGCGCGTGCGCCGATTGTTATTTGAACTATAGTTTTTCATTTCAATTGGAATACTGCCAATTTCAGAAGGTGGAACTATCACAGCACAGCCAATTTGAGTTTTTTACGTTTTACATGGCAAAAAGTCCTAGTTTTATCAAACTGCTATCAACTGATCATTAAAAAAAATAAAATGAGAAACGAAATCCTGTTTGAAATGGCTTAAGTACGGTTTGAGACATGTTTAAAATTTAAATTCTCAATTCAAAAACCGGGTGAAAGCCAAAGAATAAGGCAGCGGCCCCGCAATCTCTGAAATAGAAAAAGAATATACTGGAACGGCTGTTTTACATGGTAGCGTAGTGGAAGCACAGTACAGCAGTGAGGGCAGCTACTGCTATTAACAGTAGTAATAAGGGCAGTGCCGCGGCCGCGACTAGTTGCTTGCTGTAGCTGCGAGTCGGCAGCGAGTCCAGCGACGGCGCGGACCAGCTCGCTTGTGGCCAAGTGCCGGCTTTAATCGAATGTGCCGACTTGCTAGTATTGGGTATCTCTGTCAGATACTCTAGATGTTCGGTCGAGCCCTCTCTGTATATAGTGTTGTACTGCAGAAAGATGTGAATTTTATTGTTATGCTAATTTAAAAAAGAAATATATGCTTAATGAAAAAAATCTTAAAACATCCACTTTGTCCCTGGTAATCTGAAGTGCATGTAGTAGAGGTGGGATTCAAAACCACGACCTTTCGCAGTTCGGGCGACTGCTTAAATTACTGAGCTACAGAATACCTAACAGGACTGATGAATTCTTCTAGCACTTGTTACTTTTTTGCTACTACAGAGCGTATTATTATAAATGTTCAGACAATTTACGCTCTCAAAAACGAAATCAAAATAAAACAAAGTGGGCCCAGTGTGGATTGGTGGGTATTAACGACTGCAGATGCAGCAGGAACCAACAGCTTAACGAACCTTCCGTAGCACTGAAGAGCTCACCCATCTTATGACCGGCTTAGGCAAAAGTTGCTTAACAACTGTATCGCAGACCGAGCGCGCTATTCACTGCGCCCTGCGCCATCGAGCTCCTCACTATATTATAGACTATATTACCTAGCCTGTCATCAGGCTATTTGTACTCAGTGCAATGGCACAAATCTTGCTTTCGTATGAAATGAAATTGAAATATAAAATTAGGATACCAGGCCATAATCCATAATGCGCACTCATTGGGTGTGAGACCAACGGCTTAACATGTCTTCCCACAGAATCCAGAAAAGAGATTACAAAGGCGATCAAGCGTACTCTGTAGGAGAACTGATGGCTTTACATTCGTCCACCATTCATCAGATGTAATATTAGACCAATTAGTCAAGATATACGCGCACACTTGCATATCAAACGCGTTCGTGAATCACTAAAAAAACAAAAAAAAAAAAATTATTTATTCAGGCAAGGCTGTTACAAGCACTTGTGAAAGTCGAGAGCTACGCCATCGGTTCGTAAATCTACGGCGGGAGACCTTGTATCGAGAAGAACCGGCAAGAAACTCGGCAAGGGCTGCTTTTTTCTCCCTGTTTTATTTCATACAGAGCGTCAAGATTAAAAAATGACTTCATTAAAATTTGAAGTCACTTTCCATTACTAAACATTGGGATCGCGTGGTAAAGTAATAATCATGATTGTTTTACAAGGACAAGGCTGTTCTATCTGTGTATTGTACCTTAAACCAGGGCTCTCCGACTACCCTGTCCTGAAAAGTATTGTTTGAAGCGTGGTTGGCCGACCTGGTAAAACCCACTGCGGAATACCCTCGGTGGGGATCCAATCCAATGATCGGCCCCTGAGAAAGTAGCTTAATTTACGTATCGCAAGACTGCGCCATCAGACTTCTCAACCTCTACTTTGTAAATATTAATTGAGAATTTAAAATACTACTTATATAGTATTTACCAGTTCAAAGTTGCACCAATCTAGTGTGAAGCCTGCATCTCTGAATAGTCTCTCGGAGGTGGTGCGTTTGTATTCCCGGGGGCAGCTGGGCACGCGCGATAACGGACGCACTTCCTCCCGCAACCACTCCAGTTGCTTTGAGAATGGTACAGAACTGCCCAATCTCACTACCAATCTAAGGAAATGTGTTAACGTTTACCAAAAACCAGAAATTGTTCTATATAATTAATAATTTAAACAAACAAAGTTCAAAAAAGTGACAAATAGAAGTAAAAAATTACAAATAAAAAATCCTGTCGCAGTCGGGCAGAGAATATATTAACTAGAACAATCTTTCATCTTTATCAATAGTTTAAATATTTCTTTTGGCTTTTTAGGTAGATTGCCTGAACATTGATGAGAATACGCTCTGTAGTAGCGAAAAAGTAAAAAGTGCTTGAAAAATTCGTCAGTCCTATTAGGCCCTGGATAGCTCAGTGGTTAGAGTGCCAGGGCCAAAGTGGATTTTTTGAGCATTTTACATTTAGAATATTTTTTAGTATAGCATTGTGAATGCAAGGTTGATCAAATTTATTAAATTTCATTTTATTAGTTTTATTGATATATTTCAAAAAGTGTTTAAAAAAAGTCATATTTTTACAGTATAGTCATATAAATCGGTGTATACTTTAAAGTCGGTTTACAAAATTTAACCATTCTCTTAATAAGTAGCAATAAGTAGCAGCAAAAAGGAGGTACAGACAATCTCGTTAGGTTTCTAGTAGTTCAATGAGGGAGTATTTTAAAAAAAACGAAAGCACTAAAAAACCACCACTAGATGGCAACCCCAGCAAAAGTTGATTTTTGTAGGAAACGAATAGACCAAAGAAAGTCATTTCCGTTCCTTTTAACTAACATATTAAAAAAATGAAATTTGAAAAGTACGATATTTAGATATCAATACAAATACGAAAAAGTACAAATAGAATATGAGTTGTTTATTGGGTTTTGAAAACTAATTTACTTTTAAACATTAAAGGAAACCGGAAGAGTTGTCATGGAGAAACCAAAAATGTACCGTAGCGACATCTAGTTTGATTTCGGGAACTAATGTGTTTTTACCTAAATACTTCCTCATTGGTAAAGTAATAAGATAGCGATAAATTTCTGCTCGCATTATAGAGTCTATGTTCTGCGCAAATGAAAATTCACCTTGCGTTATATCAGTTGGAATTTATTGTGCCTTATTTTCATACGTTAATAATATTTAAAGTAGGTCACCCTTCTCCATCGCTAGGCCTCAGCGGTAGACGTGCCCCTAAATCGATTGCTGAAGCCAGAAACGTTGTATACAGATCTTGGCTGCTTTCCATCCACAACCTTGTCTTCAGTATATCTTTTAAGCGTGTCATTCTGAAAGATATAGTTTTAAATATCAACTACATAATTTGTTTGTTATTTTAATGATTGTAATAAGCCAATAAATCAATTTTACCAATTATTGTTGGTAAGTATATTAACCTTAATTCGATGGTGATTTTCGAAATGTAGTGAAATGGTTTTTTACCATAAACTCATCAAATAACTTGAGGTAATATAATCCGAGAAAAGATCTCTGAAAATTTTCTTATTCTTGCCGAAAAGGTTGCTTTTAATTTATTATGAATTCAATTATCACCGATTTTTGTTTTTTTTGGTTTTAATATAAAAACAAGTTTAAATTTCCCGTTTCCTAATAAGAACTGAGTTGACATATAAGAAGGACTTTATATTATTAACGTGAGAAATCTTGTTTCAGTTGATAACGCATTGGATTGGATTGATAACAAGAGCAGCGGATTTGAGAAAATGGTCCTTTGAGCCGTAAAGCATATTAGTGTCAAACTGTTTTAAAACTTGCATTATCACGTAAATGGTTATTCGAAAATTTAAAGCCGATTAAGTTCTTCTAATGTTAGAAATTTTAATAAAAATTGTAACGGTATTTAGTTTGTGTCTTAATTTTTTTAGATTCTAACCTATGTTCATCTAATAGATCTTCGACGTTTAAATTGTCTATCTTCAATTCCACTTCATGCCGCGCCATATTTTCTTTTGACTTGATAACGAGAGACAAGAGAACACGTCGGGTTTCGTAATCCTGCCGGTTCAGACCGATAACTTCCAACTGGAAATAAAAAGATTTTTGTTAAGCCTTCTTTAAGCATTTGTTTTCTCGGATATTTATAATAATTTTTAATATCTATAACGTGGGTTACTCGTTTCATGTTGTTTGAAAATCTGAATTTATAATAGAACGCAAAATTACCGTAATAGGTGACTTGGTCCCTCGCGGTGGAGTGCCAAATATGAATCCTGAATGGTGCCGCCCGCTATAGATATATCGAAGCCATGATGGTAACTCAGGTTTGCCTTGCAAAGATGCGTGGAAACGATATTGCTGATCAAATTCTGTAAGGAAGCCAGTTTCTAATATAAATTATAGAATGTAAGTTTTGTAACTTTACGGTGGCATTTAAATCAGCCATCCTATTTACTGTAAGTTTTAAATGTCATGATTTAACTATAATCATTGTAAGATCGGTTGGCTGCATTATATATGTACATACTAGCTTTAGCCAGCGATTTTATATGCGTGATATAGTTTCTTTGAGCAGAATAATTTTTCTTTTAGAATACTTCTGTTATCAAATATTTGTTTATACTTATCTCATCAATTGCCTAAAAACAAATTTTGATAATGACAAATTTCCATGCAAATTTTCATCCCTTATTTCCACCTATTTTTCGCGATAAAAGGTAGCCTACGTCCGATCGTCGTGAAAATCTATGGAAAAGACCTATGCTCAGCAGTGGGCGTCTTACGGCTGATGATGATGATGAGTTTGCCAAGACATATGCAGTGATATTTACCAACTACATTTAATCATCATATAAAATATCGAATTATATGCTCTTACAATAAATATCGATTATCAATATATTGGAAATTAACAATATCACCGAAATAAATATAGATATTTCATCTCCAATATTTTTATCCAAGCCTACTCCGCAGACTCATGAATTTTCCGGATCGTGGGCACAGCAGTGTATCCTGGACCGTAATATTCCGGACATCACTCGAAAAAATTGGATTCCGGGACCTGAAAATTCAGTGTAGTGCACAAACGCCCATATACTGTGCACGCGAGCTCGCTTGTTATGTCATCGCATCCCTTGCTTAAAACTTATTTTTACAGATCGAGTTTGAGTCCGTATTGTGTGATGCTGCATTATTTAAACATTATATTAATGCCATAGACAAGTTTATAAAAAAAAGTTTTTAGGAGTTGTTGAAAAACCACGCAGGACTGGTCTATAGCGACGACCTGTTATTTAACATCCTACGCAAGTTGCGGTTCCGCAGCCGCAGTGGTCTCTTTCCACATTAACATAGACATCGTGGTCAATAGGTTTATTTTTAGTGTTGATAAATGCTTTACGTGTTCAAATAAGATTCATTTCATGAATTAATTAAATTATGAATATATTTTTTAAGTTTTCCATTAACAACACTTCATTATTATATCTTTCTATTCTATTCTTACTATATTTATTTTTGAGGTTTTTTTTTTTTTATTTATTAAAATTAGCAGTAAAATTTAATTATTTACATTTGTGTACCTAATTTAATTAGGTACCTAATAATGTATCGTCGCCGGTAGCATAATATAGAGCAGTTGCCCGGATTGCGAAAGGTCATGGGTTCAAATCCCATCTCAAATGAATTTGAACTCTTCCTTCACTAATTTTATTTATTGTTGAAAATTTACTATTACATAGTCACATTCGTGGTAACAGTATTGTTCTTGAAACTTTATTATCTATATATAGGAATATTTTTACAAATAAATCTAATTACGCTAACCGCAGAAATAAAATTACCCACTAACCTTGATAAGTCCAGTTAAATAAATTGGGACTGATTGGTATAGCAAACATCTCTGTTTCCACAGCATTATGTACGTGATTAGATGTTGCAACTATTGTTACTAAAAAGGCCCACAACAAAAAATACACGAACGACAGCATCTGCAAATAAATAACAGTAAAATAGTTTAACTGATTTTAAACAGGAAGATGTTCCATTCATGATGTTCGACTGTGTGTTATTTTATATTGTACAAATCTTAATTATTTTAGTAGTAGTAGCAGTAGTTTCGTCCATGGGACAGGCTTAATTATTTTAGAAAAAAAAAGTTTTTTATTTTTGCACCAGGGCAGCCGTAAGTATCAAAGAGCAGCAGGTATTAATAAATATATACATACTTTTTGGAGTTATCCAACTCCTATCATGATTTCCCTCTTTACGGTATTAAGAAACTGCAACTGTCGCAAAAGACGACCTATTTCACTCGAATAGAAACAATGCAATCGATTTCTATTTTAACAGTTTACAAAAGGTTACGGGCTGAATACGGATCGCACATGTGCAGTAAAAGGAACGCCCCACGGCCACGCAGGGAGGTACTCTATCTGTGTTTAGAGAAAGTAGAATGAACTCCTTTTTTAATGAAATGTATAGTAAGTAGGTTTTTATTTTAAATTATTTTGTTAGTTTTTACGCAAATGAGGCAAATAAATTAATTAATACCATAATTTCCTTGCGCCAGCATAGAAACTTATTAATATAGACTAACAGTTGCCAAGATATAAATATTTTGACAAGAAATATGGTTTTTACGTGGTTAGACTTCCTCAATTATTTACGTTATTATGTTACCTTTGATAAAAATAAGCAAATACGTCCCTGAAAACTGGGCGTGACGTAAATCCTGTATGTACGTCATTGGTTATTAGACGGCTAAATGTAGATGCTGTTTTCAAAGTGAAGTTACGTTTCGTTTCATAAACACTAGACGAAGTAAATGTGTGGTAGATAAAGTTTTATGTATATAAATGAATTTATTCAAATTAATTTGCTATGAACTGTTTAAGAATATTTAATTATTAGATAATATTATCCTTTTATTTATTAATAATAGTGATTTTCGTTAGAAAACTGAGAACCAATAAATTCAGTCGGATTATATTCTGTTTATACTCTACGTGTGTGGGCGTCAAATTGTCATTCGCTCATTTTCATTTGCACAAATGTCAAAAAGGGCTAGCACTAAACGGGCGAAATTGCAATTAAACTTTAAAATAAGGTTTTAAGTGCGAAAATATCAAACGTGACTTCAATAATGTATTGTAAATATTTCATAGAAACGGCACAAACCCGCCAAATTGCCTAAAATAGCAAATGTTCATCGCTGTGTAGACATTTTTATTAATGCTCGTTTTGGCGCAATTGTTTTTGGTATAAAATCGTTAATAATACCATGTTGAAGTTCAAAAAGATGGGATCGGATAAAGTGCCCTTGCTACTTGTTACTGCAAATGTGGGATCAATATTTGAGGATGTGAGTATAACGAAAAATTGACATGTCATTATTTCGATTAAACACTGCATACAATTAACTAATTTAATTAAAAGGTCAAGGCACCGTCACTTACGTAGGTGTCCTTAGTATACAACCTAAAGAAACTCCACTCCAAATTAATATGAATATATTTTAATTATTATTTTCATTAACTTTTAATTAACTAACACTTAATGACAACATCTCAGTTATGTCTGTTACCAGTTTTAAAGTAGAATGTTGTTTTTTTATGAAACGGAGAAAACAAGATCTTAAGTATTGTGTATTTACATAGAAACGGCAAACTACTATTACTTAATATACAACATTATTATTTCTGTGATCCTCATTAAAAAAATGCATATAATGAGATATTTATATATGCTTTATTGCACAACAAAAAACAATTACAATTGGCAGACTTAATGCCTTCTCCATCTGTCAAACAGAGTTATGAACAGAGAACTTATAAGAGCCGTGCAACAAATAGAAAAATACAAATGATGTTACAAAGTAAAAAATGTCTGCACTGATTAAATTACATACAAATCCCATTACACATAAATATCATTAAGTTTCTTTACTTTACTTTTATTGGTATATTTTTTTTTTTATTTTATTATTTTAACATTGTATAGTTCCTCTTAGCTAAGGGTAGCCTGGTACAATTTACTACCTTAGCAATAAGGCCACCTTTTGTGTCCATGTTACTTGTAATATGTGTTTTTATATCAATGTTTACTGTTTGCAATAAATTATATATCTTTTTTTCATTCATACATATACCATAAATATATAAACATGCATAAACATAAAATAGTAAATAAAAGTCTATAAAAATCTCTGATTAACATTGTTACTGGACATGAGAGTTCAAGAAGTGATCACATAGTAAACATTTGAAAGCTATAAAAGTTTAACAATGACTGATAACTTTGATTCCTGATAATGAATGATGGATCAGTTCATGTGATTCAATAAATACTTGTATCAAACTATAAATATACTATACTATACTATACTATAAAATTTACAATATATGTTAAAATGGTGTACCATTTATTACATTCATTTTAGGTAATGGATGAAATTCTTTTGAGTTTTGATTTATGAATAGAATTGTTATTGCCTTTTCCAACTTGAATATCTGATAATATTAACCCATTGTAATTATATATTGGAGTGTGGAGTATTATAGTATACTAAATAACAATCATGCATGTTTTGAGCAAAAAGTTTAAAATTGAAATAAATAAAAAATCTAAATTCTATGTTAGGACAAAAAACCTTTCATGATTACATATTTATAAATATTTAACTTAGCAACTTCTGTGGTCAAGTTGCTCATACACTGCTTTTCACTGTTGCCATCTCTGAGATCCTGGAATTTATTCCTGGCCAGGTCAATTTAGAAAATTAACTTGTTTGTTTCGAGTCTAGATAGTTGTACGTTTGTTGTTACATATTTTCATGACACTACAGTTTTAGTTAGATATGGAAAAAGCACCACATCATTATGTGTAACGAACCATGGGAATGGATGTTTTAAGGAAAAATTTTTTTTAGTATGTAGTGCATTTGAAAAAAAAACCTAACCAAAGCTTTGCAATTATAGACAAAATGTATAAATGACATTTTGTCTATAATTGTGATGAATTTAATAATTGTTTTGTCTGCAATAAATGCAGACAAAGCAATTAATAAAGAACATCACATACATTATTCTTGTATTATGGAGTATCTGAGACAACAAAGGTACTACAACACCCAGACCAGAGGCAATATAAAAAAGTCTATTTTCTACTTTGATCTGGCCAGGAATCGAACCAGGGACCTCATAGATAGCCACACCGACGTGCGAACGACTCTGCTACGAAGGTAACAATTTGATTTTGCCTTTTAATTGTACTCGTAAAATGTGATTCATTGGAGATGGCAATGAAATATTTTAACTTTGGCATATTAGCCATTAACCCTTGGAAATCTTCCGATTTTTTGTGCACAGTATGTGTGTTTTTATAAGTGTATGTGTGTGTGAAAAAGCAGAATGGTGTACTGCAAATGCATTATATCAATGTAACATAAATAATCCACTGATAAGCACTGTGTGTCAGCCGTTATTAAATATTGTTGTCCTCGAAAACTCTGATTAAAGGCACTCCAGACTATTTTCATAATTAGGTTTTTTCTGCCATCCTATGAGTTTAATAAATAAATTATCATCACTGAATTTTCAGTTTTACTAAACTAAATCTCAGCAGTTTTTTTTTCGTAATTTCCCTGTTTAATTTGCAGTTAACAAAAATAAAATAAAATATGATAACCTTTTCCCTTCCATGAGGTCTTTGCAAATCTACGTCAGAATACGCCATTTGAGTGTTTATTAAAATAAAAATTATAAATTTACAAAATATGTCGTCCATTACCGTAATGTAGTTTTTGTTAAGTAATTTTAAATTATACAGGGTGCAACAGCACAACTTCCTTTTTAAAATACGTGCTATTCAGTCTGCTGACTAATGCCGTAGTGGAGCCCTATTGGTCCGTTCAAAAAGCGGGACTATAATCGGTCGGTTACAATCGGGGACGGTCCAATCGCCATAGCGTGTTAGAACCACAGGTTGGAACAGCATGATTTTGTTAACTATTCGGGCTAATGATTTCGATTTGTTACCGCATTTTAGAGCAGTAAATTTTCGGAATAGCTTTAATTTTTGGCCCATTTGGCAGTTTACTGGAAATCAATTGTGGTCAGAGACAAACTGCAACTGAGACAAGGCGAAGTCTTATTATATTATATGGAAATATAAATAGCGTTTTGCGGAAAATCATGCATTACCCGATTGATCTGTTAGGAGAACGTGTGTCCGAAAATTCAAGAGCATCGATGTGTTTCACTTCCTTGAATACCTCCTATTTGATCTTCAGAACTATTAATTTATATTATAAAAACGAGGTGTTCTACTGCGACTTTGCCCACGTCAATTAAAGCCTTTCACCTGTGTATGATGTAACTACACGTTAGTGTAAAATTTTCATCGGAAAATTAATCCGATTTATCTCCGGCAGTAGTTGCCGGAGATTAACCCCTAGATACAAAGAAATGCAGTTAGAAACTTTACCTTTTTATAATATTTTTAAAAATAATATATTTATTTAATCAAAGTATAAACCATTGGTATCTTGCACTTTTGTCATCTCATAGGTAGTTCATTGATCCTATTACTAAAAAAACCATTCGGACGGGAATCAATCAAATCTTTGAAGGCGATTTGCACTGCCCTGAGTTGAACTTTCCCTTGCAAGAAGTTATTCAGATTTCGAAAAAAATGTTAATCTGTAGGAGCAAGGTCCGGAGAGTACGGTGGATGTCTTAGACATTCCAATTAAAGCTCTTCTAATTTGGAAGTCGTCTGTTGTGCAGTGTGTGGTCTAGCGCTGTCGTGATGTGGCAGTGACGTAGAGCGATTAACCAGCCTCGGTTGTTTAACAGTTAGTTTTTCCAACATGGTTTGTAATTGCTGACAATAGACGTCTGCCGTAATCGTCTGAGCAGATTTGAGAAAACTGTAATGAACGACACCGGCACTAGTCCACCAAACGCTTAAAAGTAACTTTTTTTGGGTCAATTTTCGCTTGGGGCAGGGTGGGTTGGCATGCCAGGGTCCAATCATTGCGATGACCGCTTCCGATCATCGTAGAGAATCGACTTTTCATCACAGGTAATGATTTGATTTAAAAATCCTTCATTATTGTGCCAGTTAAGTAATGTAACGCAGCAGTCGAAGCGCGTTTGCCGGTTTGCTTCACTCAATTCGTGAGGTACCAACCTTTCAAGCTTTTTAATCTTTCCAATTTGCTTCAAGTGGATTAAAACAGTTTTATCACTAACACCGCAGCCTGCAGCTAACTCGGACATGGCTTGCGATGGATCCGCTTCCACAATAGCCTTCAATTCTTCATTATCAACTCGGGTCTCCGGCCGTCCACGGGGCTTGTTCTGCAGGTCGAAATTTCCAGAACGAAAACTTTGGAACCAAAAACGCAGTGTTTTCTTTTGCGACATAACCTCCATATACATCATTAATTTTTCAAGCCGTTTCCTCAGCACTGGTGCTACGGAGGAACTCGTACTGGTAAATAATGCGATATTTCAAATTTTCAATTTTTTATACTGGGTGACATAAATAGGACAAACAGAAGAAAAAAAAAATGAATGCCGCCTAACGAAACACAAATACAATGTGTAAATTTGAATTTCCCAAAAGAAAATTGTGATTAAAGTGGCCAGTATGACAAAACGCCAATTTCATATATAGGGACCTAATATTAGTGTAGAAAAGCACTTATATTTACAAACTTTTGTTTGACTTAAGACTTTTATAATAATCACGTATCAGTCTCGGCACAATTAGTTTGTCCGATGATGGGCATTGAAACGAAATCTAATACCAATAAAACCCAATACCTTGACGGTATTGAGATCAAAATAACGGTTTCTTGATAATATCACAACATAAAAATTAATGGTGTAGCAAGGTGAAAGATGTCGAGTCATAAAGTGATTTTTTTTTAATGCCAAAGAATGTCGCCACTCGCCAAACGATTTCATCATAGATACTGTTTTAAAAAAGTTTCAAGTTTCTAGTCCCAATTTTTGCGTTTTGTCTAGCGGCATCCTATGAAGATGCAATGAAAATGGTTTTTCATTGTCCCAATTTTTGCATCTTGTCATTTTGTGATACATCTTCACCCTATTAAGATGCATCGCATAAACTAGTCTCTGTTTTGTACCTTACTAATAGTTTGTGAATCTCGTTTTCAAATGGCCACTGCAATTATTATCATTGTCATTACGATACGTTAGTGAAAAAATAATCCAATATCACTTATAGTTTATTTAGACAACTAATGAAAAGGAATATCACTTATACTTTATTTAGACAACTCGAGTTCCTAGAGGCTCTTGAGACGACGCCAAATACCTAAACAGTCAAAGA